TCAGTTCCTTGGATTTCGATGCGAGGCCCGAGTTCCCAAGAGAGAGGAGGATTTTGAGCATCATACCCGAATACTCCGAAGAAGATTCAGTCGAGCTCAAGTAGGTGCTTCCGCCGAGGATCATTCCGTTTTTTGCTTGCGTATTAAGGACCGCGCAGATAAGTTCCGACCCATTTCCGAGCGTTGTCTTGGGAAGTTCGCTGTCGGAACAGCGCAGCATCAAGTATAGCTCTCGCTTCTTCAAGCCTCGGGTTCTGTCACATTGATACTCCCGGTAAATATTGAAGGCTCAGAGAAACTCTTCTATCACGAGGAAATTCCCCGCAGGGTCCCCAACGATTCTGTTTCACCCCGCAACGGCTTGATTTTCGTGGATACAATCGTCGAGGACGAGGAAGAGTTCCGAGTTCACAGCGTGATCCACGACGAGTTGAATTCTATCAGCGATGAGGATTGCGCCGGTTTCGAGACTGACGATGCAGATCCGGAGATCGAGTCAAATCCCGCTTCGAGCATGACGCTGCAAGATAGCTCACGGAGGACAGAAAATGTACTGATTGGTCGGGAGACTTCCAGCGAACCCCCGCAAGGGACGTCTGCTAAGGGAGCTTTGAGAACAGATGAGGCCCGCTCGTCGTCTGGAGCCGGAGTCGCGATGATCTCATCATTCGATCGCTCAAAGACCGGCGAAATTCTCGAGTCCGATGAGCTTGTCGTCCCGATATCGAAGGGGGACCTCGAGTTCCCTAGAGATCAATCCGCCGCATGCTCGTCGATTCCGGAACGCCTGAGGCAAGATCGAGGTGCCGAGAAAGTCGGAGAAGTGACTGCCGACTCCGAGAGAACTGGTCTGAGCATGCCAGAGGAGAGTGGAGGATCAGAGAGACTCGAACCTGAGCGAGAATCTCGTTCCGGAACGCGTCCCGACCCTGTCTCGGGGACTCTGGAGCTGCCCCCGCCAGAGACATCGACAGAGGGGAGCTGTGAAAAAAGTGGGGCGGCGACGGAACCAACGGCGAACGTCGTTGAAGCCGGAGAAATGTCGCCCTCGATCGGGTGTAATTCTCAGGGGAATCCCCGAGAATCCTTATCCTTATTCTTGGACGAAGATCAGACGCGAGTGCGAACTCATCAAGAGGAGACTTCAGAACGAGAGTCAATCACGATTCGAGAGGAGCGGGAGGGGAGACTCGCCTCCGGCGGTGTCTCCGACGGAGCGGAGACCAAGCCTGCGTTGACTCCCATGTAAATAGTTTTTTTCCCGTCTGTACGCGAGACCCGAGAGATCTGCTGAGAAACCTCGCCCCTGAACCAGGGTCGCTCGTGTGTACAAAGGCAATACGTAAACATGGTCGAGGATCACTGAAAAGGATAATCATGAGTTGATATCCGAACGACTATCTTGACTTCATTTTCGAGCAACAAGAGGTTACGATGGATAATTCTTTACGAATAGTTGTTTCTCCGCCACAGTGAAATACTTGAGACAACTACGGTAACTTCTGAGGATTTATTCATCCAGCGAGCGGAGCATGACGACGAAGCTCTTGAGGCCGGAGTCGAGCGATTTGGGGGAACCCTTTTCGCGCGGTCCCTGCCCCTGCCACCCATGGATCTCATCGCGAGAAGGTGGATCTTCGCTTCAGAGCGAACGGAGGACAGAAGAATCATCTCTCTTATAAGTCATTGGGATTCTTCTCCGTTCCTTCCTCTTATATTTGAAATATTTTGGATCTATCCAGATATTCGGAAGGCGACGCCAAGTCTCGGGAGATCTCGCATCCACCCCGTCGCAAATCGATGACTCCGCCTGCTATCAGCGAAGTCAAGAGAATGGAGCCTGTCGAGTCCAGTTCGCCGAAAAAGTGAGTTCCCGGATGAAAAAGGCGGGAGGCGAATGATTGAGGTCACTGAAAGGAAATCCATGGTACTCCAGGAAAGACGGGAACTCAGCCTCGGGCGCCAGCCACGCTTCAGCAAGGAAAAACAGGAAACCCTTGGCCAGACCTGCCTTAGCACCACCAAAACCCCCATCCGAAGGTACGGGAGCAGTCTCTCCCGGAGGTATAACCATTCGATCCGCTGCATATCGCCAGGGAGATCTCCAGGCAGGAATGATCGCTACCTGAAAATTTTCAGCCGGGAAAGGCACCGAGCGGACAATGCGTCCTCCCCCACCGCCTCCCCCACCCTCTCCGATACCTCGGCCGAAACCTTCCATGGAAACCGCGCCGAAAGAGATGCCTGCTGGTACCAAAAAACAGAAGTCCTTGACGGAAAGGTTCGCCGAGGCCCGAGCTTCTCAGGAAGTTGTTCTGCCGATGCCTAAAAGTGAGATGAGCTCCATGAGTCTGTCGAGATCCCAACGTGCGTCTAGCGTCGCGAGCGATGAGCTAAACATGTTCCCGGTACAGCTGTGCGTCCCGGTCCCCCGCCTGGTCCCGCTAAGAAGTCGCCTCCCGCCGGGACGCATCGGAGGCCCGCCCCTCCCGTACCCGCTCGGCGAAAGAATTCAGAGGCAGATGACGCGGCGATGCCTAGAAAGTCTTCGATAGCGGGCATCCAGTTCCAGCCACTGCCCCCCATTGCGGCGATGTCCATGCCTACACGTATCGCGATGGTCGAAAGAGATGGCGATAGGCAAAGGGAATATTCCCGGATGCCTTCACGCGAAGATTCAACAGGTGTAGGGATCGCAGCAGAGAAGGAAGAGTCCAAGGTAGGTCAGCCCGATTCGATGACGCAGTCGTGTTCGAACCGTTCTGAGGTTTCTCGATCAAATCGCTGTCTTATGTTCTCGCAGGAGAAGCCCTTGAAGCTAATTGTGATGAGAGATGAGACCTCTGAGCAGGAGGGAGACGCCAGAGACACTGAGTTGGACCTTTCGCAGACTGAATCTCCAGTTCGGACAGGTTGGGGGAGTCTCAGCTGACCTATATTATACATTGTTGGATGTGTGACCTCATCAACTCTTGACAAGCGCATCGCTTTCCTGCAGCAGACGGTCGGAAAATGTCAGATGGAAATCAGGCGGAGAGAATTTTCGGTCGGAACATAAGTTTTTCTGAGGAAGACGACAAGTGAGTCCATGCGTCATATCGAAATTTTTGCATTCGAAGTTCCGGGCGGTTTCCTCACGGAGCTCCTTTCCGCAGATTGAATATTCAGTGTCGCGAAATCGATGAGCAGCAAGCCATCCTGTCAGCTGAAGCTCGGCTGGTCGAGCGGCAAATATATGAGGCAACGAAAGGTGATGGTTTAACCGGAGTAGCGAGGATGGAGCATGCGAAATCTTGAATGAAATCTGATTCGAACTCGTTTCTAGAAACCGCACTGAAAGGCGAAATACCACGATTGATCTTGGATCCAGAAACCGGGAAATATCTCTGTGAGTTAATCCCCTGGAGAAAACTCGACTATGAGCTTTCTACGCAGACGCATTCATCGATGGATCGGCGCATGGAAATCATGTTTAAAGAGAAATTGTTCCCATTGTGCTCGCAAACTAGTATCGAACGAAACGAATTCAGAACTTCTCCCTGAAAATCTGATCGCTGACCTGTATCGAATCCTGAACGTCAAAAACCAACTGGCGGGGAAACACAGACAGGTGACTTTCCTGTGAGTCTCGAGCTCTGAATCTTTCTCAATGATTTTCCGATATTCGCCACAAGACGTGAGTCCCCGCTGACGCTGATATTCTCGCTCCCAGACGGCGCTACAATCAACTTCAGAGGGAGCAAGCGTGTCTGGAGTTGAGGCTCAGGAATTTCGCGAAAACTAATGGTACGTCTCTGGCCGTACTCTGGCGGTACGTCGGTGGGCTGAAGAAATATCGCGATCGGTAACGTTGAGGGCATCCATGGAACTCTCTGGGAGAACATTTATGAAATTTCACAGAAGGCTCCCAGGCGGATTCTGACTATGAGATGGCGCTTGTGAAGAAACTACTCGAGATCGTTGAACAGAGAGACAAGCTCGTGGAAGCTATGGATGGTGATCGCAAACGCATTAAGTCCCTTGGAGAACTATCCCAAAGCAAGTGACAACCAGACTTCCGAATCCCCTCATTTTAGCGAATGTATACGAGGGCCTCGTGGAAGACTCCGTGGAGAAATTCCGAAGGGTCTTTCCTATCCTGACAGGTACCGACGATGAAAGCGTCGAATCACTCGGCTCCACTGTTTCGATCCATAGCTCGAAGTCACTCATGGATATGAATGAAAGTGCCTCCCAAATGAGCGGGGACATCGCGAAGAAGAAACGGAGAGGCGTGAAACATTTCATTAGGAAAAAATACAAGCGAGTATTCAGCAAATAGAGACTTGGAACATTCAAATTCATAGCTACGAGCGAACTGCATAGCTACACGATATCATGGCCCAAGCATGGATATATACCGACATGTATTTATGGAAGATGAAAGAAAGTCCTCCCAAGGCACCCACCGCATGTTCTGGACTTATCATTTCACACCGAAGATTATTCAAATGTGAAGCTTACGCGACGGCGAACGGTGAACTTCTGTATTCGACTCTGGAAATCGAATGCGATAAAGAGATAAAAATAAAGAAAAAACAATTCTGAGCCCATGTTCAAAATCCGTTCTCGATACACCCCGATGATTCTCGCTCGATTCATTCATCGCTTCGCGAGGACTCGTAAACAATTTCCAGGGAGCTCCCAACTCAATATTGGTTCAGCCGAGCCGAACATCGAGACCAAAACTTCGCAGTTTCACGAGATTGTCCAAATGAGAGAAGATTCATAGGCCTAGCGATCCCGACTGATGAATCGTCCCTTCGAGCAAAGATTTCTCGCGGCTCTCTAAAATTCGAGAGCGACTTGGTAGGTCTGCTCCAGAAACCATCGGGGAACGGCTCTCCCGGATTTTCTGCATGAAGCCCCCATAGAGGGATTGATTACAGCACCGCGCCGGCTCTCGCGGACTCCCGTAAGCCGGCCTGAAAGAGCAGTAAGAGCAGGCGGAACAATTTAATGAGGCAGCTGGGTGAGCACGGTAAACCCAGTCAACCATTTATTATATGGTGGATCATTATTTGCACAATGCGGTGTCTTCAGAACTGGTATGAACATCATGTTCCCCGTCCGGAGTGGCAGCACCGAGAGCATGCCGAATTCTCGAGCCGAGACAGAGAGTCGACAGCTGTTATTCCGGGTCGCGCACTTAATACTTTCGGTAGAGTATGTTATCTCCTTATCACAAACTTTTCTATCGATCAAGGGGAGCGGTTCCGCGCGGTCTCCTACCTCAATGCCTCATCTCCGGAGAGTCGGAACGCAAACTCCTTTGCGGCATACACCCAGGTAGAGCGGATCCACAACGATCTCGTAATGATTTGAAGCGTCGCTCGAGTCGCTTGAAGAGGATTCGTTGTGTTTATCTCTCTTCACCCCAGCCTCATTCAGGACCGTATCGAGATTCGGTGGCGTCCCATTGGAAGATTCATCGGAGTCGCTCCCAGAACTCTCTGAGCTTGAATCTGAGCTCGATGCGGAATCAGATTCGCGAGCTCCCTGAAATTTCATCAATCCTTTGTCGTTGCATCTCTCTGCGAGGGAGCGAGCCAAGCGAGGAGAGTGCTCAGCTCGTCCGTGAAAACATCATACCTTCAGAACGACTCACGCGATCTGAATCAAAATCGCAACTTACTATGCAAGGGAGACCATCTCTGCGGTCTCCAATGACGTAATCGATAGCCTTCATTCCGAAACCGCTCGGGTGGGGGACCCTGCCCCTACACCATACTCTGCATCCACTCTGAAATTTCAAAGAAGAAGAGTTGACGACGAGATCAGAGTATCTGCGATCTAAGAATCGAGTTTAGAGCCTGAGCCTCGCTCCAGTCATCCGCTTCCACTGACCCTGCCGAGGATGTAATCGCTGCCAGGACACCCATGTCGGACCTCCTGCGCCTCGTCGGCAATACCTGAAAATTTCCGTTGAGGAATCCGCCAATCCACACGGCAGTGGAATGCCCAGTAACGACAAGCTTACAAATAGGAAGGTTTATTCGAACATCAAATCGTAGGAAACTCACTGCATACGATGATGAAACAAAACACCCACACAATTTTCTCAACCATCTTCCACGAACTTGGCTTCCGACCTCAAGTCCAAGTAGAATGTTTATTGAAGATGCCTCGGTTTGACGACGTCCGATCACATGAGGACAAGAGGAGAAGACGGCAAGCGGAGCGATCCGGCAAAGCAGCTGGTCGGGTAGACGTAACCTTCACTCGCGGGATTCCCATTAACACCGCTTCCGAGGCCAGCCTTCCAATATCAAGGCTCTTGCTGTCAGCCACAGAGCTCGGAGAATTCTGAGTGAACTCCCCTGTCCGAAAACTAGGATTGCTTGGTGTTTTAGATACTTATCGTGCATACGCCCGAGCTCATAAAAGCTTCGTCTCCTCGTGAGGGGGCGCTAGCTTTCCGCATCGTCTCATAAGAAGCGCAATCGCAGAATTGAAGGACAGAGATGTCGGAGTTATACCTGTTATAGGAATTCCTTTCTGCCCGTAGAGCATTGGAGGAGTAAACACCATGTGATGCCGCATTGATTAGCTAGGACGTGACGGGCAGTGTGAGCGGACATCTGCTTAGCCGTAAGATTGCTAAGATCGAATCGGCTCGTTCTGAGGTCGCAATATGCATCCCAGGCAGGGGAAGCAACATATCGTCGGATGGCTCGCATTGTCATCTCATCCCCGCTTCTCCGATACTAACGACAACGATTCGGATCGCGGGACCAAAATGTGGGCTCAATCGGGAAAATCGATCAAAACCCAGAACTCAAGCACCGAATCGTACACTGGGGAACACAAAATAGAAGACGCTCTTCAAAGGATTCACCGATCCTCTCCTAGGACTCACGAGATCACGAGCTCACGAGAGGTCCAACTTAGAGATCTTCTGTTCTGTTCGACACTATGCGATTTTCGGGCGCGCGGGAGATGAACACCACCAGCGATTGCTTGTTATGTACGGTGGCGCTCCCCTAATTATTTTCTGCATGCCGGAAGCTTAATGATTAATGAGTTAACTCGGCAACCACTGGGGATAGGCGCGCTAAATGGTCACGCTCTAACGCTTCCGATTGAGAACCGCGCTTCGCGTTGGAATGGAATGGCGAGACTGACGCGGGAGACGCCGCCCGGATTTATTCGCGTGCGCCGGGGCCAGTCCGAGGAAATCAACAAAATGCCGCTAGATAAGAACGGGTGTCTACGTTTGGAACTCGTGAGACTCATCTACCCAGGAGCGACATGCTTGACATACAGCGAGGACGGTGACTCGCTATGTCGGCTACTCGATTACTATGATCACTAATCGGCTACTCGAATGCGTCGATGGGTTCCTCGAAGGTAAGAATCATGACGATATGTCGAATGTCGATCGATTCGAATGCGACGGGAATCGATGGTCGTGTAATCAAAAGCAAATAGGCAATTTAGAGAAAAACCCGAAGATCAACTTTTCTTCGCTTCCGTTGTGACGACACGCGCGGATTCCTCCAGCGGATACTCGTGTAGGCTGATAATTCGAATAAGGTCTACTTCAGGTCGCGGGTGTTAATTCTGGAATTCGCCGCAGACACCTGGATAGAGCTGAGGACAACGTTTCAAGCGCGTGAGGTAGGGATGCTAGTTTGGAATATGTACCATTTATTTAGTCTGTTCGAGACTCACGGAAGGGTAAAAGTGGAAGCTGTATCAAATGTGCACAAGCGAGTCACACGGATTCTCCTCCGGAATCCTCGATTCGCTGACAGTGGAATCAGAACGAAGTTAGTGTCTCAGTTAGCATTGGTTCCATGGCAGGCTTGGTTGCTTTTCGCCGTGCTCCTTGTCCTCGTCATGGCACTGCGAAGTCGTCATTACCTGCGGTGAGCGAGAACTCGGGAATGTGATGAATGAATTATAAAACACCGAATTGCTCCCAGTGTCCCTGTCGAGAGCTGATGAAGACGTAGGTAAAAATTATGATGGTCGTGACTCGAGACAGACGAGTCGGTATGAGGAAATTCTTGCCAACCTATCACTCGCTTTTTCTGACATCAACAGAAATCCTAACGCTTCAATCTCAGCGAGAGCATACCGGTTTTACACTCTGCTTCACGAGATCTTAGTTTTCGGGGCGCCCAAGCATCTCGGCGCGCGCGATTGAAACGACGTCCGTGACCTCGTGATGTTAGGCTGGGTCTAACTGGCTCGCATCAGACAATTTTCCGACCAGAAGGATGCATTTAGATAAGTAGATACAGTGAAACCTGTCTAATAGGACCACCCTCTACCAATGGGACTACCCAAGGTGAACCTGAGTAATCGGACTGCCCTTGAGTCGGGAAACCTGTGGGAATCGATATCAGGAAGAGAATTCCTCTCCACGGAAATACGTCTCTCGATTCGAGATCGGTTGATGGGAGCTGCACATTCAATGCGAAAATATATCAGTTCAGACTTGTTGATGGGAAGCCTCTTCTGAGCTACCTGACAGATATTTCCGAGCAAGAATTCCGCTCTCCTGGATGCCAAAACTAATATACATATGTCGATTCGTCGACCTCTTGGATCCTCCATGCATGTCTCAAGTTCACGCCCAAAACAGAGCCTGAACGCCCAGTGGTATAAGAATGATGTGAAACATATTACAGCTTGGATTAAAATCCGAGTTAGATCGCCGCTCACACTTCAAGGCTCTGCCTTCTGCTTCTTCCCCGTCTTGACTTCCCTGCATCCCGTATTCTGAATTGTTCAGGTGCTGATAGGTGATTCTGATCTTCGAGACCATTGATATCCACAGGCTTCTAGGCTTGAACCTGCTTGCCAGAAATATGGCCTCCGGCTCAGGCTGCGTCGCAGAGGGGGCTAGGGATCGGTCGCTCGACCGCGATCGGGCGGCGGGTAGAGATCATTACCATCATTTTACGATATCCAGACAACTGACGGTTTGTTGTTCAATTTTGCGCGGTCGGGTCGAAGTCTCCCTCCATGCCGAAGACCTCAGCTCTACTGAACTGGAGCTGACAGAAGACAGAAGATGTCAGCCGAGGAAATGGCCGAGATGGCCTACACCCTGCTGGTAGATCTGGGATACACCTCGGATCGTGATTGGTTCAATCAGTAGGTGAAGGCTGAAGGAAAATTATATATTTCGGCTTGATGCAGCATAATCCTCAGGGCGCTCCCTCATTTTCCTACCGATTCCCTCAAAGCGCGACCCTTCCTTCAGGCGGCTGTTCGTGGCACCGAACAACGAGGCCTTCTTTTCCGTATTCCAATATCTTCTCTCCTTCGCGGATCCTCAAATGTTCAAGGACAAATTCAAATTCTGCCTACCTTTGTACGATAAACGACGAGAAGGAGATTTTCGTAAGGTTCTTTGTTCCCTCCTGCAAGACTTAGCTAGAAACGGGGATTTAGGGGACGACGTCCCCATGATAAAGATGGCTTTATTCACTACCCCAGGTAGGTGAGCGAGTCTCGACGTTATGAAATCGACGAGGTCCATCAGAGGGAAAAGTCCACAGAGGATCTCATTCCTCGATATTCTAGGCAGGAGCGCTTTCCTTCAGATGCTGCTTGCAGTCATCGAATGGGTTATACGGAAGAACTCAAGCATGCTCGAAATCGTGATACCTCCCTATGACGCGCCGCACGAAGCACTACAATCTGTCCTGGAATTTTACGGGAAACAGATGGAGGCCGATGCGAAGGTGAGAGCTAACAAGCAGGTATTTTCTGGATGACCGGAAATAATAATTATTGCCAGAGTTTTGCCTCTAATGTTGCTTCGCGAAAATTACTACGATGTAGGAGAGCGCTGGGATCCTCGTTTACAGGCCGCCGATGCACTGCTCGGGGAAATGCAGAGTCAAATGGAGTTGTTGGTGTCGGACCTCCAGAAAACAGACGCTGCTGTTCAAGCTAGCCGAGATGAATTGACGAAAGCTCAGGAGCAAACTAAAACCACCGAAGGGGACGAGAAAAATCTACGGAAATTGTCTGAAGCGCTCTCACAGATGGCTTCGATGTCCAGATCTTTACGGAGACTTTTAGATATTGTGCAGACGGATTCCCCGAGCCATGATGCCTTGACCATAATTGAACCCTTACCGGAAGTCTTGCTACAATCCATACCAGAAGCCGGTCCAAAGGTGAGTGGGACATCACCTACTGCGATTCCAGAAGGCTCCTTCGTTAGGAAGATACGCAACGTCATTTTTGTGGACTTTTCCGCCGATCCGGAACTCGCCTCTGCGCGGAACAGATCGACTGAGTGCGGGGATTCCTTCCATTCAGAAAGCGACGATCCGTTTTCTCCTTTCAATCAGCCCTCTTGTCTCTCAGGTGGACGAATTGAACGAGCAAATTTCCTCAGGTCAAGTCGACATACTCCTATACATGAGACTAGTCAGTATCATCCTGAGGAACAGACGACCTTTATTCAATGATGTCATCGAGAAGCTCTCTGTAGGCTCGGCCATAGACAGATCGTGAGTTCTAGAGAGAAGATACTCCGTTGATGGAATAGTGAGCCCCGGCGAGCGGGTAGAGCTGTCCCAGGGGCGCCCCTACACCTGTGCATGCTTTGGACATACGAGGGGACCCCAGGGGAATTCCTTGATTGCATTATCGCTAAAAGCGATGACTCGTCCCCGAATTTCCAGCTTGAGAGATCAACGGAAGTGTTTGGAGCAAGCCAGGAAGACCCTGAATCAGATCCACCAGTTCATCGACGCCAAGTCAAAATCGATCACTGGTTACGTCACAGAAGAACTCGAAGCCGTTGAAGACGCCCTCATCTTGGCGATTGATCCGGTGAGCGTTCTCACCGAATACTTCTCGGAGGCCTGCGACGAACGCGCTCGCGAATTTCCGTCGAAAATAATAAAAAATGACTTGAGAGCTTTGTCTCGTCTATTCCAGCCTTCGGTGTCTGAACTCAAAGAGCTCGTGGATCTGAGCGAGGCCAATCTAGACTCGGTCGGGGAGAATTCCGCTCCGCAGCCTCGAAACGGGGCGATGGCACCACCAACAGCTCGACATCATTTGAAGAGGAAGAAGATCGGAACCTTGAACTTGCCGCTCTCGAACACCACCAAAATGGACCTTTCAGGGTTCTCACCCCTGTCTACACCCATTCAGAGTCTCAGAATCGATAAATTGAAAAACGAACGCCTCAAGCGTCGAAGTATCAAAGACGTTTTCACTTCAACGCCTTTCGTAACGCCCCAATAAATCACGTTCTCGTTTTTTGAGGAGCTTGCTTACTGTTCTGCTCGGAGGAGCCGGCAAATCGTCGATTCACGACATCACAGGGTCACCGATGATTCGGGAGATCGCACCGCTCTATCCTTTCCAGCCCAGGAGATCGATACTGAAGCTGAAGAGCGAGCTCTCTGCTCTTCATCCGGGATTCCCTTACTCCGACCGCCCTCAGAAAGAGCAAATATTATGATGTCCGAAAATTCGGAGCGAGTCGAGATTCCTTATGCCCATGAATTAGTTTCAGAAACCGGCTCTCAAGATCGGCCCGGTGACTCTGAAATCGATTCCGGGTGGCAGCTGGCAGAATCGTATCGCATGCATGACTATCGTCGGAACTCTTCATTCTCCAATCGTACTCGAGCGCGAAGCAAGATCTCCCGACGCGACGCGGGCCCTCAAATGGTCCAATCCAGGTCACCTTGTCGGCTTCCGCGAATTTAAGATTTTCGATGTGCCTCCTCATGCTGATACATCGATCCCAGATCAAGACGTTTCCGGTGTCTATGTCTATGGGTCCTTTCTATAGGATGACCTCGAGGTCAAACCCTAGCACAGTGACAAGATGACCTTTGTATTTGAACATCCGAGAGGTGCGGGCTAGACTTCTATAATCGGTCTTTTTTGCTTCAGGAACGCAAGACGGGGCCATCTCGTTTGGACCCGACTTCGTTGTGGAGGTTCAAGAAAGCGCCCGAAGGCCAATGGTCGCAGTTCGATCTGAGAAGTCGCTGAGGATTCCCGCTCGAATGAGCGGGAATCTTGTTAGGGAGGCTCTTAGTGAGATATGATCAATTGAATGAGGACTGAGAATCTAAATACGATCAGGGTGACCAGGTGGGCTGGAGGCGCCGAACCATATTCCCCGCGATCTCGATAACATACAGTTGGTCGGAGCTTTCCGCATTTAGACCGAGGTCGCGCTCGAACATGATGCACATGAGAACTCCACTGGCCAGCTTAGGCAAGGTTACTGAACTAACGCTGAATCTGAGGTGTCCCAGATTCAGCGTTAGTCACCGACCGCAAGGGGTCAGCCCAGTTTTAGTTGTCAAAGACAGCTAGAAAGAGTCCGACTTGCTCTAGCACGAGTATCGTTGATAATCTCGCCGGAAGAAAAGCTGACTCTTTTCTTCGTAGCGATGCTCGCCATCCGAAGATATATGATGAGATGATAAACGGCGTCGATATCTATTTGTCGCTTCCATGGCTAAGACGGAACCGTTCGGAGCGAACGCGCGACTGATCCGTGACCAGCACGAATCACGACCTGCTCGTCGACTTCTGACTTCGGGGGATCCTCAATTTGCAGTAAAGCTGAACTCATCGAATAAAATATGCATGGCTGGACGGATCATAGCCGAGCTCAGGTACGGTATCCATTCTCGTTTGAAGTTTCCTTCGCGGCAGGATCTGCCACCAAGGAAGATGAGTGGCGGAGAGTTTCGAGCCTAAAATTTTCAAGATACCGCCGTGGGATCGTCTGCTCCATACGTAAGGCCTTCGGAAAGGGAAGTTGTGTTTATGAAAACAAACACAAGAATACCGTAGTGCTGGGTAGTTCTCGAAAATTTCGCGACTCGCAGAATTTTCGGAGATTAACCGAACGATTCGTATCGGTGAGCTGCTAAACACGTTTCTCATTCTTCACTCGTTCTCGCACTATCGGCAGTGACTGCGAGCTGCTAGTCCTCCCCCGCTGCCGTATTCTCCCTCCGGAGAGTCGTTTCGGCTCCGGCGAACGAAGTTTCAGATAGCCCGCAGGTCGTTCTGCGTGGTGCTTTCTGCAATTTACGCAGAGTGAATAGATTCTCGACGCTCAACGTCTATGAGAACCTGCTTCAGCAGTTTTTCGAGTTTCTATTGGGTCAGCAGGTGGCATCTGTTGGAGTAATTCCCCGTTCTTCATGACCCCCGAGATCATATTCGATCTTGCTCCGTAGGGGGTTGGGCTAAAGGTGTTTTCCGACTGGGAACTGTCAGATTGATTGTCCCGCATTTCGTACCGGAGCGATCCGATTAGCTTGAGATCAATCCCGCTCGATCTCTAGTGTTTCGGATCGCGACGCGGATCGACTGCACTGAGCGATTGCTCGAGAATTCATCATAACAGAGAAGATGTTTGGATTTTCAGCGAGGTCCAGGGATCAAGGTTGGAAATGTCAACCTTTTCCGAGGAGTCTCTTGTGAAGCGCTTGAAGGAGCTCAGTCCAACCCAGCAGGGGATCGAGACATTGAGCTTGTGGCTCATACATCACAGGTGAGTCTCATCTTCACCATTCAGTCGGTCGAATGCTCTGGAGGTAATGGAGTACTGCTGAGCGGGAATCCCTAAGCGAGTGTCCTTTATTTCCCCCACCGCAATCATGAAGAAAACATCACAAACGAATCGCGGAAGTTTGGCTCAAGGTTCTTCTGGAATTGGAGAAAGCCTCAAGAAAGGTTTGGGATTTTTTTGGAGTTTTTCCGGCTATTCCCTCCTCCGGCCCATCCCTATGCTCTGAAGTTCTTCTCTCCTCTCACCGACTTTTCGTTTCCCAGCTGAACCTGCTGTATCTCGCGAATGACGTGATCCAGAATAGTCGGAGGAAGGGTCTGGATTTCCCAACCTCTTTCATCGGTGAGTTCGGGCGTCAACTCCTGAGCATGGGTTCTGATGCATGCCGAGCGACCGCCTTCGCGGCTGACAGAAACCTTCATTTCGATCATTCCAGATCCGCTCAATGCAGCGTTCCACCACATCTTCGGAAATCATCCCACTGAAAGCAAGGTGAGTTCACGCGCGCGAGTCGGACAGTTCCGTAGTTTCCACGTTCTGATCACTATTTGCCAAAAGAGTTTCTCGGAAAGCCTCCCTCGACGTTCTCAGCATTCTTCGCCCGGACCTCCGATTCAGAGATGCCATCTCAATGCTTGTTCGACAACTTGATGTATTTCAGGTTCTCGCTGCGATAGAGCGAACGATTTCAATTTGGAAACAGCGCAAAATCTACGATGACTCCGTACTCTCAAGCTTCGAGAAGCATGCGCGAAAGATCAAACATGATCCGTCTGACGAGAAACATCCTAAGAAGGTGATTTCCTTTCGAGTTCATTCTGAGCGACACCTTGAATAAGCATGGGGCGCCCGGGGCTTTTCAAATGCGATCCTCCGATCACGGAATTCTACCAACAGATCGGAGACTCGACCTTTCCGCAGCAGTCCGGTATTACACCGTCGCCGTCTAAGAAGGCGAGACCGAACAGTCCCTTCAGTGAAAACATGGATCTCCTGGAGAAGATCAACGAATTCCAAAAACATAAGGTCGAGTACGACAGTGAGCCTACGAGCGATTCGAAGGTGCCAGATCATGCTGAAGTCATAAGAGCGATCCTGGCCCTCGAAAATGCTCCATCCGCCGACGCTGCGATAAGAGAGAAAATCGCATCGCTTCCCCCGGAAGTTCGGGATGTGGCAATGCTCGAGAAAATTCAGGACCAGGCTACGCTGAACAAGCTTAGAACTCAGGTGAGGCTCCACTCTTCATAATTCAAACCTTCATGGACTCGTGAGTCATGACTGACACTACGATTTGGACGCTCACTCCTCCACGTGACGATTTCGTGTGGGAGCCCTCGAGCTCCGTCGTCAGTTCCCGGGTTGGGTTCGCTATCTCGAACGGAATTCCGCGGTGTTTCTCGCTCCGAATCGCATGTTTTTCTGCATAGCATCTTTTATATAGTTCGTTCATGCTTAGGTTAACTTTCCGGCTGATCCCCAGGTGGATGAGGCTTGTGAGCTCCTGAAGAACTACAATGGCGACTTGGACAAAGAAATCTCAGATCGAGGAAAATTGGCAAATCTCCTTCACGACTTTCGCAAGTATGTTCTCAAGTCTGATTGAGCTGTATGCAGTCTATATTCCTCCACATCATGAGCCTGGATGAACCACATGCTCGGTTCTACGACGAGTTTCCGTTTATTTTTTATTTTTTATTCATTTTTTCATTTTCACTCAAGGTACAACAGCGCGAAGATCATGGACCTAGTCAAGGAGCTCGACACCTACAAACAGAAGCTTCAGACAGCTGTTCAGGTACCAAATTCGATCTGCTTGGCTCGTCGCGCGTTCCGAATCAGATGAGACGACCTTTCCTTCCCAGCCTATCAGAGGATACTCAGATACCTAAATGATTCCTTCTTCTAGGTCCGTGATGAAGTCAGACGGCATGCTAACAAGCTACCCGATATGACTAAACTACCGAATGTCACCCAGGGACGTCTCGTTCCTTTACCGACGGCTGGCGATCTCTTCACCAAATAAGAGGGGCGATGTATCTACCTACATGCTAGAAGTGTACACAATTGTGATTTCGCTGAACTGAGTTTTGAAGTGAGCTATCTCAGTTGGGCTGAATGAAGTATGAGACCTCCCCGAGATGATCGAGTAGGAACGTTCCAGAGACACCTAAAACTCTGGCAACTGAATCCTGTGTTGATAAGGAATGAATCGAGCGAATAAATAATTGAAACGATAGACGAAGCTGTCTTGCTCGGAGGGCGCTCAGCTCATTGTCAGTCCCTATTCGACTAATCGATAATGTGGGTTGGGTTTGGAGTAGGATAAGATTCGAATCGCTCACCCATACAACATTCGACCCTGCGTAAATATTCGGTGTCTGACGAAAATTTCAAGCTCGATTTTGAGACAATGAACAGCTCCTGAGACCTGACAATACGTAGGCCTCCTGCTGTGTCGACGGATGCGCGGAGTTTACGACCGTCCTCTTCTCCCCCGGGAAGCATGGAAGAGAAAAATCCGGAAGCAAGGTATTTTCTTCGCGTTGAAATCCCTCGATTCCCCGTCCGCGACATTCGTTCAGGAGCGTCGGAGGGAAGTTGGAAGAAGTCACGAACTCAAAATGGATTCGGATTCCTCCTAATCATTGTCATTTGCAATCACCCATGCAATGGTCACACTAGGGAACAATTGATCGATATTCTTATTTGGAATTGAGCATATACCATGAATGAGAATCGTTGCCTTGAGCCGTCAGAGAGCGTAACCCGCCCCAGAATTATTTTCTTGAAAGAGTTACTGACGGAGGGGTGACCCCATAATTATCGAAAGGAGCGAAGTTAATTGTTGAGTGTTTGCAAGTTGAGTGAATTGCAAGCATGAAGGGAAAGGCCGACGGGCCGTGGGAAAAAGACCATCGAAGCACGGCTCAGAATAGCGAAAAATTCCACTGGAGTGTGGGTCCATGTAAGTACTACCGTCTGGAGAATTCTCAGAGGGTCGGGGAATAAATCATATCCACGTCCGATGTCGCCGGTGTCCGACGTGAGCCTTTGCATCAATCGCGTTCGATGATTTCGGTGAATCATCTGCAATATATGGGACCAACATGCTACACGATCGGCGGACCGACCTACGAGTCATTCGTCTAAAGACGCCGCGCCGCCCTTCCCTTGTTGCGGGGCGGAAGGGTTGGGGAGGCTCCTGCAAGGTTTAGAAATATCCAAGGACACCCATATCGCAATCTCCGTCCGCTTTCGCTCGTTGAAACTGTCCGGGCGCAGGCCCCAAACTTCCGCAATAGCATTGACACATATCTTGTGGCCGTTGGACGTCTCGGTAGGACCTGAGGAATTAGACGTGTGCCAAGATAGGCCTCACTCCCCGCGTTTGCGTTCAAGGAACCATCGGATTCCTTCCTTGTTGGGAGAGTTCGTCTTCTCTACGTTGGGAGCAGCTGTGAGAGTAGTCAGGGAAGAAAACTCGGTCAGAACCAAATTTCTCAACATGGCATCGGAGGCAAGAGCTCCCGCAATTCTCGTTCTACTCTCGAGCGCTTATGCACTGTCCCCCCGATCTTCGAGCTTTGATATCCCGGTCCCAGAGCTCAATTTTCGCTCGGCTTTGCTTGATTTCGCTCAGTTCCGCTGGATGGCGACTCGAGACGCCTCTTGGGCCTCCCCATCCAGCGACCTGCACTCCTATTGCCTCATGTCTCAAACTAGTCATCGCCCAAGTCCGTCATTACGGACCCTGCATTCCTACGCCCTCTATTCATTGTGATCTCATTCGACTCGGGCTAGATTCCATGTGGAGTAGCTTGTTTTACTCGTTTCAATCATCAACCGTTGGCTGAGCATGGTCTCTCCGTGGGAACGGGAAACTGAAGTCGGATAAATGGGATGGACCGCCCGTTCGTGTTTTTCAGCAGAGATAATCAGCATCATTGTCCTCACACTCTCCCATCAACAGATTTCGCTTCGCTTCAATTTCCACGCCGTACCTCCTGCACGGGTTCCCCGAAGACTTGACATACGTACCATCGTACGGTTCCTCCAAGGGTCGTAGAATCAAACAAAAATTACGGTGGACAGGCGAAAAAGTCGAATTTTCGTTCTAGTCGTCGAGCGTCGGAAGTCGTCCGTGCTCTCTTCCTCAATTCGTCTTTGTTGTTGTGTCTGTGGCGTAAAACAGTAGCAGAAGTTTCGAAGCTTGATGGAGTGTTAAAGTTAGAACTGTTACATAATACCTCGATTGCCAGAAAGACTCCCCGGACGATTCGACGAGCAGTGCCCGGCCGAGCTACTTGGTGAGTGACGAACTCCGTTACCGTATGATTTGGTGCCCATAGTCTAGCTTGCAGGCAGACATCTGACATTTGGACTGTTCGAAGGAGTAGAATAACAGCTCATCGACGATACAGTGGAGCTTCATTGCCACCGATGCGTCACCGATACCTTAATTCGGATTGCATCTCTTGAAAGCAGAGCCTGTCAGTGAGCTCTTCCCGCATTGTTCCGTCATTCAAACTCCCTGGAAAAACACACCTGTTGGAGTATCGTTTCCCCGGAAGAAGAGGCCGCGAAGGATGAATCAGTCGCAGCGTTCCGCGAATCTCCGCGATCCCGACAGCCAGGGTTCGATCAGCCCAAACATTTGCGTGGCTGCATAACTTACGCCGAGCGAGTGCGGCAAGCCTCTCTGGGGAGCAAGATAGAAGTCCCTCTGCGACATACTACGATACTGCGGCAGAACTAGAACAAGCTAGGGGGCATCTTCGTCCTTCTATCAGCAGCCAGAAATCGGTAGAGCCTGACTGAATGTTTCCCGGAGGAGAGTAAGATCAGAGCATACACGGAATCGAAGTCCGAGCATCGGTGTTGCGGGAATTCTATTCCTCGACGACAGTTCGATGCAAGTTCGTCTATGCATCGGCGTCCCTGTCAGAAACTCAGTTTGTCCGATGGAGATCACTCTCGTGTTTAATCATAATTCTACCAGGATGGAGTTGAAAGCTCGCCGGCCCATCTCGCTGAATACGTAAGGACTGCTATCTCCCTAGAGATAAGACTACCCTGAGGAGGAAGTGGGAAGGCTTCTCTGTTGTCGACCAAACGGGTCTCTCTGCTTCAAAGAACTTCACTGTACCATCCGTTTGTTCAGCCAAAAGTGTCTTGACTATTTCTTAAAACAGCGTTTCGGGGTTAATCTGTCCAATCTCAGCCGATAGAGCGTCGCACATTTCGTGCCCTGACGTATAACGAGTCTTCGCCAATTTAGGTAGTGTATACAGAGTAGAGCAAAGACCCTCAGCTAAGAGCACCGACACCTGATCGTCAATGATCGCATACGCAGGAGCTCTCTGAGTGGTAGAGGCTTCAAAAGTCTTTAAACGTGACCCAGCCGGATGACGCCGTGCCATTGAGTGATACGTTATGGACTTGGAATGTTTTCTCAGTATAGCAGAGTTTCGCGTTGGCTCAGATCGTGTGTGTGATCACTGAGCGGGGAGTTCGTCTCCGGTGGTGGCTCCTGTCGAAGCTCGAAGCCTTTGGAGTGAGTCTAATGACACGGGAGTTACTCCCGGCGATTCCCGTCGGCAGCCCATGAGCGGAGTTTACGGGAACGATTCGATCGCTCTCTATGTGATATGTGAGATTTGGAGCTTTGGCGTCGAGAGTTTTCTGCGAAGACGGCTGAGAAAAAACTGTCAATGTTTCTTGGCGCTGTCAGAATTTCCAGCATCGCGATCAGCTGATTCATTGTGAGCACATCCTATCAAGACCCGTCAAGGAGTCACTCGGGCTCAAAGTGCAGGGACAGCTTCTCGATTGAGGTCAGATATTCCTCTTCCTCGATATCCGAGAGTAGATGAATCTCTGTCTCTCGTCGGCACTGGGTCGACGGTTGTCGCCAACCCTTTCTCGGTCGAGCGGAAACTGTTGCTTCTGCTTTACTATGGCGGAGGCCGCAGCGTGATGCGAGGTCCTTCCCATGCTGTCTCTCTTCGCGTCTGTAGGTCCCGATACGATTTTCGAGCCAGCGACGAGAGGGAGGAGGGTTGTATGATGACGTCATTCATTCACTTGGTCTGTGCTGCTGCGTTCATTGAGAGAGCGGCCACTGCGGAACAGCGCTCTTCGCGGAGGGTCCGAGCTGCTTCGATTTTGGGGAAATCGAAGTAGGCGAATCTGCCAAGCGACAAGCACTCTCAGTGGAAATCTTACTCGAAATCAGAGCCGCGAGTATCTGGGAAGATTGACGAGGCCCGTCCTGGGGGCTCTAACGGAGGCGATATACATGAAGCTCATGATTCGTCCGCGATGTGGAAATCACGAGAGCCGCCAACGATGAGGAAACGTGCCGAGGACCGTTCTCGGGCACAGTAGGCTGCTCACTTCATGGGCTTCCCACGCCTTCTTTGCGTCGGGCGGACTTCCCTCCGATGAGACGTCTCCTCAGCGAAATCGGTTCGTGGTTCTTCGGGATTAAGGTCGGCTGGACGTAGACGTACAGCATTTACGCTCGTAGTCTGGTCTCTATAGAGGTATCGGAAAATCTAGAACGAGTCGAGTGAAATTCGTTTTTTCAACAATCGATCGATGAGCTCTACGTAAACACACGAATTATTCGCCTGATGAAACAGATGGCAGGGTTCACAGGCTGGCTGTTCGCCGTCGACAACAGCAACAACAACGCTACGCATAGAACGTGCGGCGTAGAAGCTCGTAGGCGTTCAACGGAGGGAGATGATCAGAAGGAAAAGAGGAAGGGACGGACGGACGGATAGTGTTCCAGAAATAGCAACGTTGGGAGAGGGACTGTGGCCCGACGGCGATGGCGGCGCGCAGAGCACTTGGAGAGTTACTCAGAGAATACAGCAAACCAACATCTGAACCAACATCGAAGTGCTCGCCGCCTCTTCGACTGCCTACCGACTGACTCTTTTCGTGGCTTTCCAATCGACGTGGGAAGGATCACATTATCATGTTGCGGGCGTCGACCGTCAACCTCTGAACCGAAAGCCGGTCCGTGATCCGGAGCTGCTGACAACAACCGTTCCCCAGAGCGGGGTGTGACAAGCTCGTTGGAAAAGAGCGGAATATGTGTTGACACTTCGAGTCATCGGTGATTAGCGGAGCATCGCTGCCCTACCGGTCCCAATGAACTCTGACAAGGTGGATAGTCACATCGGGACGGCTGCGCGAGAGCCTCCTACGTGAAGATGTCTCACCGTTGACTACCGGACCGTGTGTGAATCCCATCTCAGAGGTCGGAATTCACTTCCCCGAGAAGCGGTGCAAACGTTTCGATTAGTTGTGGGCAGGATCATCGCAGGAGAACCGTGAGACGCCGTGATCGCGATTCGAATCCACATGTGTGTTAATCGGGACGCTCGTGGCGGTCGTTCAGACATCGATGGTCGGTGTTATTCTTGATTGATGAGGCTAGTCGTATTGACAGTGGACGCTGATGTTGCTTCTGGAGATTTTCGAGTGTTCTCAGTCGGAATTCGTCTCATCGACTGAGATTCGGGATTCCGAAAGATGTTGAGCTGCTTCTCTTATGCTGCCTATCGTTCTCTGGACGAGCCAGACGGGAAAGCAGAGCTAGACGCCGAGGATAGTCGATCCGCATCCCCTAGAGATTCTACGGGAGGACAAGTGACCGCTGGTACTACCGACGCCATCGTTCCTGCCTCGACAACGACGGCGACGACGACGACCGCGGCGACAACAACAACAAGCACGTCGTCAATCGTCAGTGGACAAACGGGAATCAATGGCAGGCAGCTCCATCTTGGCTCATCCGGCTTAGGAGGTCATCTCAGTAGCTCAACAGGAACTCTCATGCACCTCAGTCCCACGTCACTCGTCTTACCTCAGAATCCGAGCTCTGCTCCGAGTTCTACGGCGCTCACGCCCGAATTGAAGAGACCGCCCAATCAGAAATTCGTTAAACATCTCGAGGCGAATCTTCTCAAAAATTCCATCAGTGATTCCCACTTGAATTGTACAAAGAACAGAGAAGAACGGTACATCAAAGTACCTATCGGCACCGCTGTTCCACCTCCTAGACCAAATGTACCTTGTCCAAAAAAAGACGTCCGTCACAATCCTAGTCACAACCATTTCCATCAACAAAGTTCCCAACGAAACGACCAGGTTCCGAAGACTCTCGCCCCGATCGTTTCTCAAAATCTGCGCTCGGCGCAAGCACCTCTCCACGTGCTACCACAGAGTATGTCGACCGTATTATCGCGATTTACATTTTTCAAAATTCTCGAGCCGCTCTTGTCGACTAAAGCTCAGAGGAGCGCCTTCATTTACGGAACGATACGACGATTCTCTCGAAAGAAAAAAACACGAAAAGCTCTCCATCCGTCTTCCGACAAGAAATCATTCGATACCGAAGGCCTTGCTCAGCGACCTTTTCTCTCGAAGAGACCAAATGGCCGGAAACCGAGTATCAAGCTCGATTCTTCTCTTTTCAGCTTCATTCAGACTCGTTTCATCGGCGAGAAAGTGCAAAATGGCTCCCTCGAACACCGAAGGAGCGACCGGGAGTTCCCAACGAACCTGGCTGCATCAGGATAACGAAATACTTGGAAACGGAGTCATATACACAGTCAAGGTGAGTTCCTCGTTGATTTGTCCATTCGTGGGAGTAGGCACCCGGATGGAAACCACCGGTGCGCTTCAGGCTCGGACGGTTTAGAGGGCTTTTGATGTGAAGCAGGTGCCCACGGCGGCTTGTGAATCGGTTCCTAGACTTCTTTCCAAGAGGTGACACCTCCGACGTTGCAAGCCTCACGCAACAAATGGGGCGAAACTTGCCCTTGCTGGGACCGATCCTTAGGAAGTAGCGTCGGAAGGGATTTTCCCGCCAAGGCCTCTTCCGAATGGATAATAGCGAAGACGAGCTGAAGATGCCGCGCGCAATACCTCGAGTGTGCCGAGCGTAAAACTGACGGATGGTAGGCGACCTAACCGAGGTGCGTTGTATGATCGGGGCGATTTCCCCGGGTGGGGGGACGATTCGCACTCAGATCTCTTCGATCGAAGGTGGCATCGTCAACCATTTCAGCATAGCCGGGGCGAACCAATTGATACTCCTGAGTTTGAGATAAAAAACGATTTTCGTGCTCGTGGCGCCTCTGTTCCAATGACCGAAATGCCGCATTTCGCTGGATTGAATACACCTCTACCGTATATCGCGGTAGGCGCATCCGATAGCTGCCACGAGTGCGTCTGCAGGTTCTCCCTCGGTTGATTATTCTCTCTGATCAACGAAGTCGCCGATGAGATTAGTTCCACCCCTCTCGCGAGCCCGGAATCCCGCGGGACTCCCGAAGCCGTCTCAGAATGTCTAAACAGATCCAGTTGCTCGGCTCAAGGCGTGATGGAATTTCGCGAATTTGTGAATCGGTTCCAAGAAAAACGGAAATGGAATGCATTGACTGTAATGACAATGACCCTCGATTGGGTTCCGCTTCTCCGGGCGAGTGCTGGATGTCCTTACTGAACGCATGAACAGTCTCGGATTCTCACATGCTACGCTTCGAGAACCCAAGCCCCGCAAAAAAATGACGGAATTCCGGGGAAACTTCGCACGGACTTCCTCTCCCTCCGAGAAACGCCAGCAGATTGGGAGGGGCCCGATCCGAAGAATTCCAATCGAACAAGACTCTCTCGATGACTCAGTCAGTGCTTTGGAAGAAACGGTCTCGGGATACCGTTTCTCGGTTCGTCATTCAAGCCTCATCTCTGGAGGCGATCTCGAGCCGCGTGGCATCTCGATGAATCTCAATCGTTCTGCGGGAGGAACGTTGGCGTTCGAGCTCCTTTGTTCAGGCCCTCGATACGTATTGGGGGAGCGAAACGCGATCGGGCACTTCGCGAGCTCGGCGACGGACAACGAGCTCACAGGAAGACGGTCTGAATGACAAGCCGACTGAATGGTTTCTCGATGAGCAATGAGCAGCAGATTGGAGACAAGAAGTCGAATGCCCGCTTCTCTTTGTGTAGCCGGAGCGGCGAATACTAGAACGTAGAATTATACAACGTAGATGTTCAAGACGAGAGCCCGGCATGCATGCAGGCAAACGAAGATGCAATCGAGCTGGCCAGTGCGCAAGTAAGCAGGATGGGAGGCAAACAAGCTAGTTGGCTGGCTGGCTGACTGACTGTCTAGCTGCTTGACTGACTGAATGAATGGCGGACTGGATGCCTGGCAGGCTAGCATACAGGACGCAGGAAGGGAGGAACCTACACCAAAGACGGGGAGGGAACTAGCTGCTTCCTCCGTGACGTCAATGCTTTCCTCCTCCGCATTGGACGCCGTCTGCCAAGTGCTGCGCCGCCGCCTCGGAGAAGGTGGGTTGGCCGGCCTGTTTGCGTGCCGCTTAGTCGGTCCATCCGTCGTAGCGTCGATTGCCTGACTGACTACTTGTCTGGCTCAGTGCCTGTTGAATCGAGGTCCTGAGGTCGGCTGACTTCTTTTTCGTCTGCTCTGGCTTCGCTCAATTTAATTTCTAATTTCGAGTTTCGCGACGGGCTCTTTGATCGCAGCACGTCCGGGTCGTTTTGTCGAGGACGATGTCCGATCCAGGAGGTCATCATCCAACTGACTGCGATTGCCGACGCGATCAGTCGGAGAGCGACCTCGAGAGGGTTTGACCGCGACAAGATTCGGAGAAAAACGTCAGAAAATCAAATAGTCCGCGCTTCGATCATTTTTTCTTCTTCGCTTCTCTCATTCGAGGGGCCCATCGATCGAGAGAGGATATCCGACTCGGAAAGAAAATTATGGAAATAAGCGCCCATTTGTGTTCTTACCTCGTCAATTGAGGTGGAAGGATTCTTCCGGATGGGACGCGTTTTGTAAGCCGCGTCGTCCAGCGAAAGATAATCCGCGATGAATCGGTCCTTAGAGGAGCGGAATCGCTCCTACTTCGATAAGGTCGCGGATTCTCGAAGACAAAGGCGCTGCAAGTCGATCCGGACTGATTTGTAACGGAAAATGCCGGGGTTCTATAGGAAATTCGAGTAGTTGCTATCCGTTGACCCTGTCGAGCTCTTTGTGAATCCGCGAGGCTTCGCATGGGTTATCGTATGCTATGCTACTCAGTCTTCATAAATCAGCGTCCGGATCTTCGGAGAATTCCTCGTTGAGACACCGACGCAGCTTCTCTGATAATTTCTATGATCGCCGTTAGTGGACCGACCGGACCTGCTGCTCCACACTAGCATCCGCATCTAGGATCGGAACCATCGTTCACATTAGAAAACCGAGATTATAATCGATCAGAGCCCCTAACGATGTCGACGTCCCGGATCAGAATCGACGCGAATTGATTCCCATCTTATCAGCCAGAGTGGTAGACGACGGTGGAGATACCGGCAATTATCTCGATGGCTGGTCAGCGTTCGAAAATAGACAGATTGGTCTCAAATTGATTCCGGAGCTCGAAAGCAGCACGAAAACAACCTTCTCCCCGGGCAAGAATTCTACCGAGCTAAGGACGAACGGGGAGAATAGCTCGACGATAGGAAATTGGAGATCTGGTGAATTCGTTGACGAGATTCGAGAGGAAATATTTGAACACGATGCCAGCTCGACGGCAGTCGGGCTGCTTGCTCCGTCCGCTGTCGGCAGCAACAACGCACGCTTAATAGACTTCCGGCGGAGCTTCCTGCCGGAGCTCTTGTTGTAGCGAATTCCGTTCGGTCCTCTAAAATGGCCAGTTCAGTCAACGGGAGCAGCATTGGCATTTTCGCTCGCTGGATAACGCCTTAGGACTCGTTTCGCACTGTGAGCGCTCAGGACCTGTAGAGATGGAAGATTCTGCGTATATTTCTGTGATAGAGCAGGAAAGGACGACATTAAGGGATATTCACGGGAATTCAGGCCGCAGACTCCTGAGCAGATAGCGGAATCTATTGAATGGCTCATCTAGGATCGGCTTGTCTACAGCTCAGTCCTCCACTCGGGAAGTGGGACAAGACAAGAGTTTTGATCGCTGCGTGGCCGTATCAATCATTCAAACTCTATTCCTAATTCTTACAGTATGTCGGCTGCCTGGAAGTTCTGACCTCAATGAAAAGTCTGGATTTCGAGACGCGCACATTGATCGCAAAGTGAGTATCGAGAAACTCTCAGAGAAGTGGAGAGGCTAAATCGATCATCACCACTGTTAGAAATATTTCCCGGTCGTCGAACCATAACGATTGTGTCAGCTCTCAATCTCTGGCGACGAATTAAGCGAACTCCACTTCCGATATTGAGAATTGACATTCATTTCAATCAGGGAATGTATCGTGAGAGTTTGCGAAGCAGCCGGTCTTAGGACAGTAGATCGAAAAAGGAAATTGGACAGACGCTTGCTTCGAGTTCTCGCAGAGAAACCTATCATGGAGCATGCAGGTAAGCCGTATTGGATCTTGAGCGAGATGAGATACGCGGGAATTTTCTCAATTATTTTTGCGAGCTCTCCGTAGCGCAAACCGACCCACTTCTTTCGATGTTCCCGTGAAGGGAGACTTTTCCCCCTTCGGAAGCAGGGCATAATAATCTGACTCGCTCCTCTCCTGTAGGTGCGAATGTCTCACTGTGTATTAGTGCTTCAGCGTTAGCATTGACAGATCTCGAATCGGGCCACATCGTAGCCACCCACGCTATGCCAAACATCAGTTTTGCATCAGGCGAGTATTCAGGGGCAGACCTCCCGGATCTTACATGATCCCTCACGAGAGGCTCTCCGTTAGAACTACGGGTGTCGCTGTTTCAAATTGTGCCAGTACTTCTCGTCATACCGGTGGTAAACATCAATCATTGAAGGAATCATGTGCCCGATAGGTGGTGATCAGGACACATTGGACTTTGTGGCTTACGTCGGGAAAGACGATTTGCACAACCGAGCTTGCTTCGTGCTCGAATGCGAAGGAGGATTAGCCCAGGATGTCATTGCCACCATCGGGCAGGCTTTCGAATTGAGGTAAGCTAATCACATTCGACTCACTCAGTCAGACATTGCCTCGGGCATCGAGGTTTCCTCAGTCTAACGTTTCCATCGAAAAAACTGGGAGGGACGTGCCCTGAAGTTTTTTTTTCCGATGCAGGTTCAGAGAGTTCCTACGACGATCTCCAGTTCCAGTACCTACGCTTCCACCAGCGAGAGATCCTGATTATTATAATGATTTACCTGGGAAGATTCCCCCGGAACCCGCTCCCAAGGTAGCTAGATCCATGAGTACATCAATGCTAGGGTCCAGCCTGGAGTGATCTAGAAGCTAGGGCAGGGGTCTTCAATTTCTCTCGATCGAAGAGGCTCGAGAGTGCTGCGATGCGCAATCGGAGACCCTTGGCGTGAGGTCTGAAGAAGGCTCGGTGGAGCTCCCAGACGGGCTTCACCGTGAATGATTCAGATCTTCCAGGGTGCCGAAGCACGTACCTAGGTTGAATCGCGCTGGTCCAGTACTTCGTACTCATCCGTTGCTCCTTCTCAGGCCCTGCCAAATAACAATAATACTACTGCTACAACACCAAATAATAACACCTCAGCCGCCGGCCATGGCGGCGCTGGTGAAAACCTCATCGATTTAGAAAACACTGAGACAACGGTCGACCCCACCTCTGTCCAACCCATCCACGGTAAGTCTTCCCAGATGTGCCACTCGGGCTCGCATCGATGCCCCCCTCGCAGTGGGAAAGACCTTGATTTCCTCGCCGAAGGCAATGCAAAGCTCGTTATCGAGTCCAATTGTTCTTTGCAGACTATGTAAACACCAACTTAGATCCTTTCGATATGATGCCAATGTGTGAAGTTATTCCTCCAACGACGCTCCCGGCTCCGTCGGCGGAAGTCCATCCTCCGCCCGAAGTTCTGGCCGTGATCGAGCAGCGCCTCCGGGTGAGAGTTCAGGGCTTCGACATATCATAACAGAGGGCTTATGTCCATACATGTCGATTCATAAGAGGGGTTTCGGTTTTGTCGGATGATACGGAATTGAGAACACCATAAAGAAAATCGCGACCATCAGTGTTTTCTCCCAGCTTCTCATGAGCGATCTCGACCTTCGCAATTTCAGGTCGAACCGTGGTATCATGGCGCCATTTCGCGAGAGGAAAGCGAAGCTCTCCTGAAGAAGGACGGCGATTTCCTTGTGCGTGAATCCAAGGCTCAGAAGGGATTTGTTCTCACCGGTCTGCAAGGAGGAAGCGGGAAGCATCTCCTCTTGATAGATCCCAATGGAGTGGTAGGATTTTTCGGAACATTCCTTGGAAACTGAGACACGTATCTCCCCGTCGAATGCTCACCGATATCAGTCACCGGCAGAAAGACCCCGTGACGTAAGAGGTATTTTTTTCCCTCAGGTCCGGACAAAGGAACGTACCTTCGAGAGCGTCTCACATTTGATCAATTTCCACCGAGATAACCAATTGCCGATTATTTCCCTGGATTCGGCACTGCTCCTCATCAATCCGGTTTGCAAACACTAGACGTCCCTCGGTGTCAACCCGATGTACATTTTTCCAAATCGACATCGGAATCTTCCCTTGTCGAAAGCCTTCCGTGTTTCGTCGAGGAAGCTTATTGTCCAAATCAGGGAGAACCGCGCGTCGTCTACAGATTTGTCCATCATTAACGAGTCAATCCAAGTAGAGATGGGGAGACAGCGCGGAATCACACTGTGGAGAGGGGTATATGACAACCCATATGACCCTCGTTCACATTATGGTCACAAGACCGTAGGAGACCCAGTCATGTATTATAAAAGTAGAAATATTCGATATAAGCAGAAAAATCCAGTTCCGCTGTCGACGACACGGGCATGTAGAAGAATAGCTAAAGAAATGGTTTTCGAGGCATCGCCAATGAGACAAACAGGCTCTCGCGGAAATGCCCGAGATCCTCCATAGGGTAGGAATTCGGATGTGTGGATCTGTAGTCCTCCGCGTCTAAAACGATGAATGAAGAACTTGTTCTGCGCGATCAACTGGAGGAACCCGAATGTACTTCGCAAAGTACTGAAGTATGATTAACGTTGGAACATAGCGTATTAAGCGGGAAGGTGATATATGAGTGTGTCTCTATTTACAGTGCTGTAGATTGTGCCATTCGTGAGCAAAGCGTTATTGCTTTGAACAGCGTATGGATTTATTTACACTATATCCCTTTTTCACACCAGACCGAGACCAACAAGTAGAAACGACAGGTACCATCACCACAGTAATGGTATGAGAAAGCCAAGGAGCCCCTCCCTCAAATCTGAGCGCGATTTCCGAGTTGGGAGATCTGCCAGATACCCCAGAATTCGATTAATACTCACGAATCCATCACCAGGGGTCGTCGCTTCAAGCGGACGCGATATGTCGATTGGATTCCTCCGAATTGTTTTGAATTAATCCAAAATCTGGATTGATCCATCAGGACACCCTTGCGCGATATCGGTGGCGGACTGTTCTGATTGGAATCCCTCTCGGACCCATTGTACGCTCGAGTGATGAAACCCCTCGGAAATATTTTCGGATGTCCTCAACAACCTCTCGCATCGTGGATTTCTTGTACCCAACCGGATCCCTTGTAGGACATATCGTTGGAATTTATCCACAATGAGAAGAACAGCAGCCTTCTGATATCTTACTAAGTCTGCTCACTCGAATCGACTACATTCGTGTGACAGATTACTGTCTTGACTACATTTCTCTCTTGAGAAACTCCAGGAAAGAATTAAGTATCTCTACAATGTATTTTTATGGACGAGTACTACATCGTGCACCACTTGATTCGGAAGCTAGATTGGAACATTCATCGCTTTCTTTTTAGCGCTATTCGCTCACTACGAGACGGGGAAAAATGAAGGGAAAAACAAGTCAACCAGTAGTTTTGGGGTAGTTTCGGGGATCCGGTGATAATCCGGCGATTCCTCACGTAGCTGCTGATCGTCCACATGGGTTGTATTGCTTAGCTCCTCGGAAAGAGGAAGATAATATTGACCGTTCATAGCTCCCATGTTGAGAGTTCTTTCCGTCCTCGAACTTGACTCTACTGTCGGACGGCAGCATCGAGTGTGCTCGGGACAGACAGTCTATATCCTGGAATGATCCTTTTTCTCTTTCAATTGGAAAGCCTAGATGACGGTTCACGGTAGAAAGCATACGTCCGCGGAGTATAGGAAGAGATGTACAGGAATACATGATTGAAAAAAAGATAATAGACTTGACCGAATCAAAAACTCGTTTCGCAGCAGGAAATTGATCGAACGCTCGTTCCGTTTTTCATTCTCCAGATGACACAACGCACATGTAAGAATTGGACTTACAAAGGGTTCAGGCTGAATTTTATCGTTGACGGTTCGAGATGCCGAGCATCTCGCGGCGATTCGACATGGTCGTGGGACTCTCAAGAGGAATTCGCGGTTCCCAGGCATTGGGACCAAGAACTTCGAGGAAACGACTTCGGAATTACTCGGAACGCTTTTTGATTTGGTTCTCGGCTAACTGTTGATGTGAATGTTTCAATCACCCGGGCCGTCGATGGGCATGCTGACTGGCGGATGCGGGTGCTCACTACAGACATAATTGTAACTCGAGAGAATTTACTCAGAGAGCAATTCTGGTTAGGAACAGTTACGGATCTGCGGGTCGGAAACCGCTCCGATAATGTCGAACTTTCTCGTCGATCTTGATCGAGTCGATTTCACGATTTCAGAAATGGACAGATCATGAGCTACAGTAATAAAGTTGATCATAGACCATCACTGAGATTTCTTCTTCTCTGAGCGGGATCCCCGTTCTCGATGAACCGCCGCCCGGGTGTATGTATTGAATAAAAAAATTAATGAAATCCCAACGACTGTTTCGATCACCTCGCAACGACCAGTGAGTGGTACGCGGATGACTGGCGGATGAAATTCGCTCGCGAGTCACGAGGGAGCCTCTGCCGAGGGCCAGGACATACGCGACGTTTTTCAGGCCTTCCTGTTCTCCTTGAGTGAGCAGCAAAGGAAAGAATCCGTAGCGAAAGATCTGTCGATCACAAGGCTCAGGCGGCCGCACATGAGCAGCGGGAGAGATACAAAGATTCTGGAAGCCGGTGATAATTTGGACTGACTGCGATGCCTTCGTCATCCAAACGGGCAAACTCCCGTCACCCAGAGGTCTACTTTCTATCAGAGATGATTTCTAACCGTTTTCAGCCGGTTTCAGCTTCTGCAAGGCGGAATCAGGAGAATTCCGAACATATCATTCGACAGTTCCAAGGACGGCGGAATGGAGGCCTTTATTTACACAGTAATCCCCGAACAAGGCAAAGATTAACCGCCTCTTTCACGATCAGCCCAAGAGATGCTTGAAGTCTTTACACTGCCGTATTCGATTTTCGATTTTTCTCGGTATCTTCTTCTTGAATGTGCCGCTGATTATCTGCTCCTCTTTTGAATCGTGCTTCTCGGCTCCATGTTCAATCTGAGGAGAGGATCGAAAGACTCACAAGTTCATTCAATGTACCCGATCGGTAGCCGGCTTGGCATTAGCGCAAGCAATCGCGACCCCAGCTCTTATTCAATGGTACCCGCTCTCACTGACCTGGAAGGCACACATGGCGACAAGAGGTTTAACAAGTAGAGAATTGAGCTCCGGCCACCGTTCCATCTTGCTGAGGGCCAACGCCACAGATTCTACAGTTGACAGGCACTCGTTGTGCGGTTGTGTGCGAATAACGTAGTAGGACGGATGGGTGGGATTGATTTTGACCTGGAAAGAGCTCCGCGTCTTAGTTTGTGGCGTTTCTGATCGATGAAGATCCGAGGCTCCGAACTTTCCACGGTACTAGATCAACCCGATCTCGCCTATTCACCTTCTTCAGCGAATGTAGCTCCTTGTTGCCGAAATATAAGCTCTTGGCTTGGTTCCAAGTGCCGTCAATCACAATCAAGCTGTAGTCTCTCCCAACAGCGACCAAATCCTCCACGTCGATCGCATCCGATGCAGGATAGAGGACATAGGATCTCTCAGGGTTTGAGAAGGTATCCCTCAGAAGCGGATGGCTGAGGTGAGAGGAAGGTTTTTATTTACCTCCAGCTACTTTTCGGTTCACGGTTTCGATCGATCAAAGAGCGGTGTCAGACATCGTGAGCGCCTGCGCCGTCCTCGCTTCTGTGGTCCGATGGAAAGACTCGGCTGAATACATGAATGGAATTTATGCGTTGAAGGTTGCAAGCGGTCCGACTTTTTGATCACCGGCTTCGCCCGATTTGAGGTACCGCTCAAGGCTCCGCTTCGTAGATGGAGCGGGACTCGAGGAAGAGCTTCAGTTCGTATGTCGGAGGAGACGATCAGAGATGGAGGAACTAAAAATTGAGTGCCCCAAGGTCGCTATAATTTGATGGGGGAATCTGTTCAGGTTCTGCCTTTTTCGGACTCCGGATGAGGTCCACTCCGACTAGTTCCTCTCCAGATTTGGATTTTCCGATTGGTTTCTCGCCAATGATAATGCTCTTCAATCAACAGATGGAAATTCGTTTTTTCGCAATTCCTTGGAGGATTTCTCTCGCATTCGGAGTCTGACGCTCATATATCGCTCAGAGGTCACATCGTAAGCGAGTGCTTCTGATCTGGACTTGTTCGAAAGATTTGCCGGGGCACTAACCGGGAGAAATGTCGTCCGCGGATGATATGGCAGTTCTCTAGAGCCGATTCGAGCATCGGAGCGGTTCTCACGTTCCTCTTCTCCTCGTTGGGATGCTGTAGTATCAAGACTGTAGTTGATGTCTTGATTTTATCGACGGGTAGGTGAGAACACCAACAAACATTGATTGGGCGCCTTCAAAGAAAAACAATGTGATCTCCAGTATGTGTCATTTTATTCTGATCAAGTACGCATGTAGATGAATCCATCCGAGAATCGGGATGTGTGGTAGGCGGATTATCGGTGGAATCATCGATCGATCGAGTCATCAGTCATCACGATTCAATGAGCGCACTTACTTGCATCTGGTACATAAACTGCGTTTCGTGCACGTAATGCACTCGTTGGTGTCGATCTCACTCAGTTCTGAGAGAGCTGATTCCAGCTCCTTGTCAGAGTCTGGCATCACCGCCTGTCGAGAAATCGTATAACCCAGTGAGACAATTTTTTCCCGAATTTTCCCCTCTCGGTCGTCCTTCTTCCAACACGCGGCTCCGTTGGTCAACGACGATTTCAAAGCGGTTCACATGTGGAGCTTCTCCCGAGCGGATTCGGGGCTTTGACAGTCCTAGGTGAGACAATTGTCGGTCGTAGGGGTGCGGCTCGCGTAACAGGTGGAAATACGAGCTCAAGTTCTCCCTGAGTCGGCGCTCCCTCAGCGCTCAAAGAGTGTCGGCACGGGCTTCACGACGATCGTCAGCTATAAGCAAATCGATCCCTCATTCCCAATCCGGTTCCGCAACAGTTCTGGATTTGAGGGGATTAATTCAATGATTTCGTGATTGTACGCGTCCGCTCATGACTCCGGACCGAAGCTTGAGATGTCATGTTAGTAATCAAGGAATTAGTGGGGCTTCCACAATCGATGTCATGATAGCTTCCCGATGTTCCTCTTCTCGTCGGAGTGGAAACCAACCTCGGGCCGACAACGCCGATACCAGCGGCGGCACACGGTATCCGCGACCAAGCAAGAGTGCACAGGAGGAGAGTGACTAGCTTCGAATACCTGCTTATTTCTTATTTCTTTCAGGTTGATCCGAATGCCTCCTAGGATTCAAAGATTCTCCATGTCCCCTCCGACTAACGGGGGAATTCCGACTCCTTCTCAGGTGCTTCTAGCGAACTTCTCGCAGATGAGAAAACGTCTCTCCTAAACTCCTCACTCCTGATCACTGGGTCGTCGTCTGCCGTCGTCTGCTAGAAACCCTGGTCCCGTCGTCTAAGGGATGAGGGATGGATGAGGGAAATGGTGGAAACCTTGAGAAAAATACTAGCCAATAATTCCGGAAGACTTCCAACCATAAACCACAGTGAGATCGAGAATTTAGTGGGATACCGAGAGACGCCGGCCAATACATCAGGGGTTGGCGTACGTTGTGTCAAGTTCCAGCGTGAGTTGGAGCGCGACCCTTGGACGCTCGCGTTGTTTGACCGCGCGCATTCGCCTGAGCGGATCTGATCGGTCGATCTCTCTCGGGGAATCTCCTTCATTGTTCAGTCCGCAGCTTCCGTTCCCGGAGCCCTGACGACATAATACCAATCAAGAGCGAAGCGATATTTGGCCTTGCAGAAGCTTAAAGGCAGGAAATTCATCGAAACTTCGAGCGATCCGGTCGGTTCTCCGTACGGAGTCCTTCGTACCCCTCGCCTCTGCAATGAGGACTTCTTCAGCACCTCCGAACTGCGTTGCTATGAAGCGAGCTCTTCCCGTCGGCTCTCCAGGCACATCCAGTAGCATTCAGTCCCTGCTACTCGCGTTCACGATCCAGAGTTGGAATGTCGGAATTCGGAAGAAAATGCCCGGTAGGAACTCAGAGGTCCCTTCAAGATTGAAGGAGGTTCCCTGACGGAGTCCCGAAAACGCCGTCTAGACAAATACGCGCTCAAATCCACTCATTTGCGTGCGGGAATCGAATCCCCCCGTCTACGTCTATCGGCTCTGAGGGGGCCCTCGGATCCCGAGGGGTCTATCGGAGCCGCAAACCGTTTCTCGATATCGTTGAAGTCTCTGAAGCTTCCCGACAAAAATTATACCGTTCCCTTCAGCCGAACGCTAGCAACATTTCAATCGATCGCGGGCGCCAACTTGAAGCTCACTACAATCCGAATCCTCGAGAAAGTTCATCAGGATCGAGAAAGCCATTCTAGCAACTTCGGAGCCGTCCCTAGTCGAGAACGTCTTCCCGAGGGAGACTCTGCATACGTCTAGAATGAAAGTCTAGGTGTAGAGCCTCAAACTGAATCTCTCTGCTTGTATCGAGAGGACAGTCCGCGCCCCGGACCTTAAGCTCTCATCGGCGTGACGGATAGTGCAGTCGAACCGTCGGTGTCGGCATTCAAACGTCCGCGCCTCCGCCGGCAGCCAAAGCGGCGGCGGCAGCGACTGATTCGTCTGCTAGATCATCGATCGCCGAGCAGTAAGAGTCCCGCTGCCAGCCGTCTGTCGTTGTGTTTATGTATGCTTTGTTATCGGCAACTTTCACCATCACTCACTACCTACGGTCTGCCAGCAACGAGTGGCTAACGTCGCACTTCTGGAGAATCTTCAACGAAGCTATCCAAGCTTGATGATTGGAGGTGTCATTAGCCATAAACGGTAACAGCTTCAACAGAGAAGCTGTTGTGCGGTTGCAAGTTGCGAGACAGAGCGTCTCCAGAGCGGAATCTTGATTAGCGCACTCGAGTTAAGCCTCTTCCCGTTCAACGCCAGCAAGCCAGCGGCTCGCCATCGACTCAATATCCATCATTATGAGCGGCTCGGAGATGAAATCTAACGGTGAAAATGGTGTGTATGGTCATCGATTGCGACTTTCGGCCGTGCTAGGAAATATCCAGCACTGTTGCTAACCTTACCACAGCTAGTAAACAATCTATGGCTTTCTGCTTCACGCATGTTCAAGGTTATCCATATTGACAAATAGAAAGCGTCCCCGCGGCGTCAGAAACCGCGGCGTCAGATAGCGCGTCAGAAGCCGCCCCAGCGGAATCTGCTACCCGATCCGATCGATCTTTCGCGAAGCTTCTCGACTGCTCACGCATTGCTCGGTCTGCGAGAGGGAGGCGAAACAGTGAACTCATGGGGTTCGTCACTTGTACTGCAGGAACTGCGGGCCCTCGGAAGAGGATAAAGCGAAATTCCAGGACCCTCTCAACCGGCGACGCGACCACCGTGGACGCGATCCTGTTAGCGAAAGCTTGTCCGCAGTTGAAGAACTCGAGACGCAGTCGCAATGGACGCGGTCGTGGCGCTCCCAAGAAAGGTTATCTATCGCATGCCGAAGAGATTTGGTGAATTAGTATCGATCGCGCTGGAGGCATCCGATTTCTCGGATCACTCATATTGGAATACTTGCTCTCAGGCGGTGCAGGTGGGAAAGGTACCTGGGGCACTCCCGGGTCTGAGCTCCAGCCGGACTTCGTCGATCATAAGGACCCCAACTATGACTCCGAGGCCGAAAAGGTTTGGAACCCTCTCTCGCAGCCTGTGTGACAGTCATATGATGTCGCGCCCAGAAGTCGATTTTTCTTTCCGCCTGAACGCTCCCGCTAATCAGGAGCTATTCCTGGCAGGACAACCTCGAGTTCGAAGCGATTACCCCCGCTGTGAAGGAGGAAGACCTCGAGAAGGTCGTGAGTCCTCTCATCGTGGAGTATTTCGAGCACGGCGACACCAACGAAGTTATCGTAAGTTTGTTTGTAGGGGGTCCGCAACGCTTTCGGCAGTGCATTCGGAGAGACAAGGAGGGTGTAATGGGGCAAGGCAATATCAATTGACCAGAACGAAATTCTGCGAACAGATGTCATTGGAAGAATTGAACCTATCGAACGTCCGGGCGGCACTGGTCGCCCTGGTGGTTCAACTGTCGCTGGAGAGGAAACCGTCTCACCGCGAAATGTGCTCGGTATTGCTCAGTGACTGTTATGACAGGTGCGTAACGTCCAGCTATTCCCGATCCCGTTGTCAGCCGAGCGAAATATTCCTGGGAAATATATTCAGAGTAATATACCTGTAGAGAGAGATACATATTCGATCGGCTTACAGGATTCTCGAGGAGGAAGATTATGAGAACGGTTTCAAGCTTCTCCTTGAATCTATCGGGGACATTTCGCTCGATACACCCGAGGCAGCAACGGTGAGCCTGATGGAGATATACGCAATATCGAAAAGCGATCACTTCCCCACTCGACAGATGGGGCGTTTTGAGATATGAGGCTCATTCGTGTCGGTCTCGAATGAGCTAATTCCCTTTTCACAGTGGATTGGAAACTTCGCCGCGCGATGTATCGCCGACGATTGTCTCGCTCCGAAGTTCCTGCAGGAGAAAACCGAGAAGCCGCTCTCTCCAAAGGCCCAAGAATGTCTCGCACACGCGAGTGCTTTGCTCAAGATGCCTCACGGTCTTGTTCGATTGGACAATGTCTGGGGCACGGGTGGAGGTATGCGACCAGTGCAGAGTCTGGTGAAGCAGATTCAGCTCCTGATTCGAGAATACCTCGTGTCGGAAGACATCCAAGAAGCTCAAAGGTAACTGCTGCATCTCGTAGGTGTATAATTGCGAGTCGTCCTCGACGCGGAATGAATTCACCCGAGCTATCGCTCTCTGTCGTAGGTGTCTCCGCGAGCTCGAAGTTCCTCATTTCCACCATGAACTGGTTTACGAAGCGCTGCTCTTCACCATCGAAGACATGCATGACGCGGCGATTGGTGCACTTGTTAAGCTGTTGAAGGCGTGCGATGAAAGCGGAATAATTACCCCCCAGCAAATGCAGAGGGTGAGTTGTCCTGTTCGATGAAGTCTCAATTCCCGGCTGGCTGTTATGAGATGAGCATTCTTCGGCATGAGGAGCTCTCCAGGAGGAACCCAACACGAAACATTGTTCCTTTCTAGGGTTTCGACCGCGTTTACAGTGAGATGAACGATATCGTTATTGATGTCCCACCGGCGTATTCTGTGCTCGAGAGGATTGTCGACAAGTGTTTGAAGGAAGGAAATTTCTTGCCGGAAAAGGTGAGTCTCTACGCGCTTCGAGGATCCCCCGGAGCATTTAACGGAAAAGAGTCCCGGCGACGATTCGACGACCATGACCCCAGTGCACTTCTTGCAGGTCGTTACGATGATGCCTTCGAGAGGACGGAAACGTTTTGTTTCTGAAGGCGACGGCGGCCGCGTGAAGGACTGCTAAGGAGGGAACGTTCAGTGCCAACGACAAAAGAGAATCAGACCAAAGCTCCGCAAATTGCTCGCGACACCAAATCTCTCTGTATGTTTCGACTACAAACGATCTCCACGGATCTGATGGGGGCGTTATCTGAAATCGATTCCGTACGCAGATTCAATGAACGAGGCAATGCCAGCTCTAGAGGCCGATCGGAACTTCGACTTGTGTCGGAGCGAAACTTCGATCTGTTTCTCTCTTGTGTAGGGCTCGTTGGGTTCGAATGAGATTGATCTTCGCCGATTTTTCCATACCTAAATTAAGACTTCGGAAGTGTACGAAAGTGCTGCAGCTGCTCCGGCAGGCATGACTGTTGTAGTGATTGGTGTCGAATGCTCCATAAGGAATGATTGCTTACTCTAGCGTAAATTGTCTCAGTAACCGATTTATCGCTTTGTCGTCCGATCGTCGGTTGGCTCGGTTCGTCGCTGCCGCCGACGGCGCTGTCGACCCCATCGACGATCTGATCACAATTCCGAAGTTCCACCTCAATAGATTCTCGAAAGTGTGATGATTTTTCGCCCTCATCGTATTACTCGAATTATACCCGAGCACCGAAAGCAGAACATGAACTAAGAAACGTTCGGACCCAGGTATCGTATGCAGCAACAGAGTGAAGTTCCCACTGTATCGGAGGGAGGAGCAGCCGACCGAGTCCCGACCATCTTCTAACCTTGCTAGATGCTGTAGCGGAGTGATGTCGGAATTTTTTCTTCAGATGAGCACTTGGTATACTCATTCGCTATTCCGAGTGGAATATCAATATCAGAGCAGTTTGTTAGAATTGGTTTACTTTAAGAAGATTATTTTGTAAAACTCGGCCTAGCTCCAACGGAAACCCAGTCGATCACCAAGCAGCGCAATCGAAGGGGAAGGCTGACAAGACCAAGGATACCAGGTTTACTGAGCTGTGTTGCTTCGATAGCCTGATCTTAGTGAGGTTCTGGAAGTGTTTCGAATAAAAGTGGCGAGACTTTGACATGGGACCCTAATCTCTTCGACGTCTTGGAAGACCGCTGAAGTTCGGGTATTCATCCATAATCACCAATTTACTGTAATGTATTGACGGACGGGAAAGTCTTCCGAGAAAGAGCCCGAAGCTCGAGTCGACGGGAAACTGCTGCTGTTTACGCGCCTACGATACGTCTCACTACAAGTTCTGGGGAGTGCATTTGCGACACTCGATATCGACCCTCACCTATTATTATCGCTCTCCGTGCGAGAAACGTGGGCTCACAGTATGACGAAAGGGTGCACTCTACGGAAGTGACTCCTCGTCATCAAGCGATTCGCCGGTTTGAGAAGCTCAATTCCGTTCGTTGGCCTCGAGCGACTAGAAGGGAATGGGCAATTGCGTGCAGTATACAGAACGCTGATTAACCTGCCGCCGCGAGTTTGTGGAACTCATATTCATGCACGATTCGAGGCACATCTCGCCGCCGCTACCTTGGCAGTAGGGAGAAATGTATTCGAGTGTGGACTGGTCCGCGGGAGGGGGGTGGGGGCGGCCCCTCAGAGTCAGCTAACTTGAATTTTCGGCTGATCTTCGAGATGACATTCGCACCCTGACCGAACCCCGAACGCACAGAATCTCGATCGAGCACCGTCATTCTACGATGCGGAGTCACGAAAAAAAAAACATCAGCCGAGGGGTCTCCTGCATTCCGTGAAGCCCCGTGGGGAGAAGCGTCTTCGGAGACAAAATGGAAGGGACCCCTGTGGCTCGACCTAACGACGGAGAGAATCACATCATACTGACCGTAAGATCTCCCCCCCACAATACTGAAGTTACGCTGAGCTTTGGACATAAAGAGCAGTTTTAATGCGAAGTCCTCAGAGCTGAGTTTCAGCAGCTGCCAAATGACAACACTAACTCAGGAAGGCTTTCCGGCGGCGGATCCCGCGAACTACTTGCTTTATTCTTTCTCCGTAAAGCGCCATTAACAGCTGAAAACTCTTTGGGGAATCGCTTTGAGGCGCGACCTCACAGTAACTGGAAACCATGTACATTGTTACGTCAGATCGATAGTTTGATTGACTGTTTGCGGATCATAACGGTGAATACTTGGAATTCACCACTTTTCTCCCCTGTGGCAACGTCTGATCTCAGTATCCGGGAGAGCTGTTCACAGTTTCGGAACCGTGTCTGGCCCTCCGAAGGATAGGAATCAAGATGAACAGCAGTCTAAGGATCACAAGAGAAACGAGTGGAACTAACTAGATGACGTCGGCAATGACATGAATGTTCTGTTTGTTGATTGGCCACACCGTCCGTTCCGGACCGTTTTCTTCGTCTACCTCCTTCTTGATAGTTTCGAGGAAGTCGATGCAGATCTTCAGGTAACCCTTGCATTGCCAAGTCTGGTTGTGATTCCCGCTCTCGAACGTTGCGAGGAGTTTGAAGTTCGACCCACATTTGTTATAAAGGGTCTTCATCATCGATGGAGGTATCAATGTATCCGCGAGTCCGGATATGAAGAGAACTGGGCACTGTACACGTGAGACTCGATCTTCGGAAGCGAAGACGTTCTTGTAGAACAGACGAGGGACGTAACGGATAGCTTTGTACGGTATGATCACCTTTGAAGAGAGAACGTCGATTTCTGATAAGATCATGATGCATCTCGAATGTGATTATCTAGATCGTTAGGTCCACGGCTCATTAACTCTGATGAGTGAGAGCCCGTGGGGCCTCCAACTCGACGGATGGGGGAAAGCTAGGCTCACCTTGGTCAATGACGGTATGGATGTGAATGTGTTCTCCAGAATCAGACCCGCTAATCTCGAGGCGTATCTTTGGTGACTCGCTAAATTTATGGCCACGGCCCCTCCCAAGCTCCTGCAGAACAAAAGAGCATGAACATCGACGTAGCACTGCCGGAGATCAACCAATCGCTATACGTACAGCCGATCGTTAATTCGGGGGGCTCGCGAAGCGCTCACCTGCCGAACACCAGGATCAGCTTTTTATTCACAGCCGGATGATTGAATAGGAATTCGATGCCGGCTTGGGCGTCTTTATACAAGCCGTTCTCGGAAGGATGGCCCTCACTCCGCCCATAGCCTCTGTGGAAGAAGAACAACCGAATGGATAACAAGGATGGAGCGAGCGCAAGACGATCGAATCGTTCGAGTCTTTGTCCAGAAGCTAGAGGCTGCTCACCTGTATTCTAGGAGCAATAGATTCACTTTGGTTGTATGATACATTTCTTGTGCGTGTGGTAGCCTGTGTCCGACATTGCCTGCGTTGCCATGAAGATAGAGGACAGTTGGCGCTTTCTCGAAGTCGGCTTGCTTGATGAGGAAGCCATGTATTCGAATATTATCCGATGTTTTGATAGTGACCTGGAAGGAAAACAAATTTCCTAACATCAGTCCCGGGTCGGCGGAGTAGAGACGAGACGAATCGGCAATCAAGGGGAACATCGTCCACCATGGACGGGCAGTGGGACGCAAGAGAGACTCACATCTTCGAAGGGGAGGTTGTATATTAACGGCAGGTCTACATGACTTCGCGACGTTTCTGGCTGCTCGGGATGATACAGTAGCGTGTCGCAGAGGTTGTAGAGAGCTCGCATCGAGGTCGCCAGGATGACGGCTAGAGCCTATTCGGAATAGAGAAGAATTTGAGTTACGATTCCGAAAATCCGAGAGTGTTCCCAATCAATACCGATCGGATGACGCGACCGGTCGCTCATTGTACGCTCTCATTCGAGACAACTCACCAAATAACCACTAAAGAAAATGTAAACGATCAGAGCCACCAGCAGGGTAGGTCCGCATTTCCGTCCCACTAAGAAACAGCCTATGCAAGCTAGCTGCCCAAGGAGCCTCAAGAGACCGGAGCGTCTCCCTGGAGCTGAAGTCAGAGGAATATCTTTGAAGCCTTGTTCACAATCCTCGGTAGGAACTCGTGCATACCTGCAACGGAATGTGGTCTTGTACGCCCGGCTCGATACGGGAAGTCTCGTTTATTTCCAGATGTCCATTCTAGACATCGACTCTCGAGACCGAACTCACTCACCTCACGCCCTGTTTGCTGAAAAGCTTCGTTATCGGGATATCCACTATGTGTGCCCCTGAGGATCGCGCATCTGCTGCCTGAAGAAAAAGTCTATGAGTTCCTCCCTGAAAAATCGAAGCGTTCCAATTACGGTAAAGAGTCGTCTAATCGATGCTACTACTCTGAAGCGTCTCAGCCTTACTTTAGCCATCGAAAGGCGAGGTCTCTTCCGATGCTGGTGTTGAGAGAATTAATTTATTATCCGACTTCGATGAACCCATTGCGATCACGCACTCTATGCGATCAGTCTGCAGAGGGACTAGCCGGCCAGAGAAACTGCATCGACCTCCCCAGACGGCTCCTACACATAGAGAACGCTTAGGGGGAAGTTTCATATTCCAGTGTCATATCGCGAGACGTTTTTCAAGCGTTTTCGGAGGCCGCGAGAGCTGTCGACCGTTCGATGAGTCGTCTTACTGCGCCGGCAGCAAAGATTTATCGAGGAAAGCAACTAAGCCACGAGAGACATCAAAGAAACATCAAGAGGATTGCCCCGGTGAATGCCTCCCCAGGGTTGCCTCAGAAGATGAGGGGTTCCCAGAAGGTGTCGAGAGCAGCGACATTTGGAAATCAAAACTCCATACTCATCCGTCCGGTTGCGAATCCTTGTCTACCAGCTGATATCGGTCGGAAGGAAAACACTAATGCAACCCATCAGCAAACGGCATCACGCACGAAGTTTGACGTTCCGTCGGTCCGAATGTGTCTAGAGAACGCTACTTACCGCAAGTTGAGCTGAGACTTGACGAGTCGCCACCCTGCCTCCACGGAATCGAATGCTGCTGGCATTCGTGATAGGAATCACATGTAACGGCAAAGGGGGAACGTCAGTGCGCTTCCCTTCAGCAATGGTACCGTTGCCCTGCTCTCACTCAGTCAGTGTATTTCTCTTCTTCTCGATCGATGACGGGAGCGGCCATGTTGGAGTCAGAGCGCGGCTAATAGAAGCCTGATCGCAGAAGCTACGTTCGAGGGATTCTCAGAAGCGCGGCAACCGTGTCGTCTTGAGCCGCGATCTCCAGCTCAAGGAATCCGATTTAGAGTGATTCCCCGATGATTATCCAAATAAAGGGCACAGTGTCACCCACGAAGGAGGGACGATGATTCCGGTACCTGAACGGTGTCGGGTACTTCCGAGCACATATATTTTCAGTGATTGACGTGCTTATACTGTCGGAGTTTTTCGCCCGAATGCTCAAGACGCTCAAGACGACACGGTTGCCGCGCTTCGATAGCGGGGGATTCCCGTTATGCTGTGGGAGGGAAACGAAATACACTTGTTTGCAATTACTTAGAGACTGCCGTTCCCACTCTCAAGATGGGCTTGGCCTCTCGTTGACGAGCATGCTCCCGCGACAAGGTCTCAAAAACTCAAGCAGAGTACTTTAACAGGGGGGCGGCTCCGAATCTCGAAGGCGCTGACGGTTGTTGGGGAAGATGGGGAATTATGCCTCGTTTGCAGCCTGCTCTCTATCGTTTACAGAAAAGATTCTACCCGCCTTGGATGGGTCCGTCAATCCTTCCTCATTATCCGAGTGTCCCACGAGAAGAACATATACATAGTCGGCCGAGTCCGAATGAGCGGGAACGCTATATTAGACTGTCGTGTATCGAATATATTTTGGGACGAAGCGGGGGAATGTCGGCAACTCGGTGCCGGAACTTCCGCACCCCGAAACTTCGCGGCTCCTTGAGGTGCATGCATGCTCGAGAATGATGAGGGCAACATGTATGTACCTATCGCAAATTCTTGACGCGAGCGGAAAACTTCGCTTATCGAAGGCACTCAACTCGAGCATCAAGGTGCTCAACAGCGGCTATGCGTCTCGCCGATACGAGTACACAGGGTGCGAGTAGATGCGCATGTTGAGGATAGTTCTTGGCCATCAGGATCGCAGCGGACTGCTGAGGCTCCCTGTTCCGAATCAGATCACGTCCGCTGTATTCTTCGAACAGGGAGGACCACTGAGAGGAGTCTCTCGAAGTCCTCGACCGAGTCTTCCGACCCCATCGCAAGCACAATTAGAACTATCGACCGCCCATTATACGCAATGACATACTAATGAGTAGAGATGCGAGAATCTTTGAGAGATTGGGGTCTTCACTTAGCAGGAGGGCTCAATCACTTGACCGCAGCTGCGCGAACCCCGCTGATGCCTATCCGTCTCCGTCAGGTCACGATTGACAACAAATCCTAAATGACATCGCGAGAATGCCCGAGGAATGGATCGCAGCATCGTTCACGGTAGGCCGCATCGAGATGATCGAAGGCTTCCTAATGACGTGGTAAATATCGTCGCCGTATTTTGCGACAAATTGAATAAGTTGAAGCAGCATTTGAGCCGGTCAGCAGCTCGTTGCCGGTATGGGAGCTCCGATGTTGGACTGGAAAAACGGAGGCGTCCTGCGGACATCATACGTGGATGTGAGTCAGCTCTGAGCACGCATGGAACTTTTTTTTTCTCACAATTTTTCCCGCAGCTCGATGAGGTGTTCCCCGGCTCCCTCTTTCGACTCTCATGCAACTCCAGTCCTTTTCTCTTCCCGGATCCCCTCTCAGTTCTACCCCTGGTATGTTCCGTACACGAACTCCGACGGGAAGCTGCAGGTGCATGGATTATTCGGATCGATGCTTGGGAATATAAGCAAGTCCCTAAACTTCACGTAAGTGCAGGTCTTGGACGTACATCCCGAACGGCTCCGGCGGCACGTAATGCAGGGTCAGCTGCTCGCATGATGTAAAATCATTTTTTCATTGCAGGTATGAAATGTTCCCTCCCCCGGACGGGCAGTATGGGATGGTCCTGCCAGACAACACTGTCAACGGGCAGTTACTCCAAGTGGAGAAAGGGGTATATTCCATTTCGGTTGAGCTCCTTCGACCCGATGGCCAACCGAAAAATTTCTGATCCCGATTGTTTCTCTATCCAGGACATCGACATTGCCCTTGGTCCATTCACTTTCCATTGGGTTCTGCACGAGAAGTTCCATGTGCCTCTACCGCCACGGTAGGGGGCTTGAGAACTCATGCTAGACCACAGATGCCTCTACATGACTCTCAGTATTTTCTGTAGCGATGGTCGGTCTCAATGATTCTCGCAATGAATGCATCTGGACTTTCTCGCAGATACACCCAAATCTCCATTCTGTCCGCCATGAAACAAGCGTGGGTCAAGAAGCCTGCTCCCCTGACGGTCGCCTTCGACTTGACAGTGAGTTTCGGCTTCGCTGTCGCGGGATTCGGTCTCAGAAGTGATTCTAAAGGAAGCGTCTGAATTCCAGACGTGGAGCTCTCTCTTGGCTCTGTTCTTAGCTGTTGAACTTCTCTGGTTCCTCCATCAGAGGTAGGCTGATCTGTTCGTTGGGGCAGCGAAGCGACGTCGGCAAGCGCCTGCGTCGGAAAGGTCACAATGAGTTCCCCGAGGTTTTGAGAACCGGTAGCTTCTTTCCCATAGATTCGTACTCCAACCGGGCAAAAACATTCCACGTCTGTTGGGGGAGACGGCGTTCACTCTGGTAGAAGTTCTCCTCCAAGAATGTGAGTCGAAAACGATACCGAGAGTCGGAGGAGCGCTGATGTCCTCAGAGTGAGCCACTCACGGAATTAAGCTGCCCATATGGTAGTCAGGTCACATCCGTTCATTCCAGCGACAAAGAACCGATTCCGTGACAATTTCAGTAGACTCCTTGGGGGTCTTTGGCTAGCTTGTGCTTTCTTTCTCGGGCAATTCTTCGTTTCGCAGGTGAGTTCTGATTACAATCGTGGTCGTGCCGGCGGGACTCGTTCGCACGCAGATTATGATCGACGCATTTTCTAGGGAAAAGCCAATTTGGTGGTGAAGAGTCCAACAATGCGTATCGATGACTTGGACATGGTAACTTGCCATGCTGACGATTACTCCTTGGCTCGACCTTTCGTAAAAAACACATGTGCATACTCCGAATCTCCCAAAACAAGAAATTTCAACCCACAAGCAGCTAACTCTCTCTGAGCCCTTTTGAAGATACTCGCGAGACCGCAGATGAGAATTTATTACCCTATAAGTACTCCTATCCACGCCATACTACTGGTGAGTTTCCTCTGAGCTACTATACTCACTCAAAAGTCCAGAACTGATAGCACGAAAAAATCAGGAAATTTCCGGCAATCGTGGAGAAAGGCTTCGACGTCATCTGGACTCGAGTGGAGTGGGACTAGGAGTGGCAGAGCTATACACTGAAATGGTTCTGGAGGATCTCCAAGAGGGTACGCATCTTTCAATGAACTAGTCTGAAACTCTTCCTATGACGCTCAACATTCGGGAGCAAATATTGATAATCGTAATCCTAGATTTTCCGCCTCGCCAACAGAGACTGCAGTCATCATCATGGATCTTCAAAGTATAACAACGAACGTTCACTCGTACTGTCTTCATCTGGAGTGAGTGCCTCCATCGAGACTGATCACGTAACCTAATACGAGTCGGGAAAGGACTCGGATAGACATGAAAAATAACACGTTCTCCTGCCGACGAAGAGGATAAGAACCTGCTCTGAATTTCGCAGAAGCTATTTCTATATCGGCGCCGAAAACGTCCGAGAGCTACCAGGCCTCTGGGTGACCTCCAAGAGACTACCACCGGAGTTGAATGAAATCATCGACCGGAAGCGAGTTATACTTTCTTTTTTACGAAGACCCGAGTTCTTTCCGATAGCAACGATTGCGGCTCCTCAAGTGACGCCTCCTCGCGGTAGATTGGGCTTCGATATTGCGACTCATCCTTGAAAGGATCCTAAAATATTTCAGAGTCGAGTGGTTACTCGCTATGGACGTGCCTTTCATGACCGATCACGAGCTATACAAGGGGAACATGGAATGCGTGCCAGCACGCTTCAATCGACGATCCGATACCGCCGAGGCCCTTACCATTCGGGTAAGATGGATTGGAGGAAACGAGAGACACCCTCGACTTCCTCTTCGATTCGTGGCAAGGCGAAATTTCCCCGCTTGTTCGATCAACTCGTACCTCTGTTTCGTAATCCAGGACATTGAGTTCACCTTCAGCGCCTTATTGAGCGGTCAAGCTGCAGCAATCGTCGTTTTCGTCCTGGAAATGCTCTTCTCCAACATTAGCCAACGGAAGTCTAGGAACTACCGCGGAAAATTCCGACTCGGTGATTGGATGCGAGCACGTCGCTTCTCATAGACGCTCTTGGACTGGTCGGGAATCCGTAGGAAGAGCACTGAAATCCATCGAGCTGCGGAGATGAATGTATAGGAGAGCGACTGGAAAGAAGAGGAATAACTTGTCAGGCATCCCGCGGAATTGGCCCTCCTGTACATCTCTAGACACTCTCCGGGAGTCAGAAAAACGGCAAGATTTTCGGAAGGAGGACAGCGCTCGGGAGACACCGCCTTCGAGTATGGTGCCTTCGGCAGGCGTTTCAAGTCTGTATGTCGTTCCCGGGCTACAGTTTGGCTCTGTCATCACTCACTTTGTCCCGGAAGGAGAATAATCCAGATAGTTCTCGCCGCTACCGATCCGAAGTAGATCCGGCGAAGGCGCTGAAGGCCTATTCGCGCGCATGACCACCACGTTGTAGATGAGCTGCTGATTCAATACACCCGAGAGCAATGCGAATAAGACTTATGACTCTTCATACTAGTTGCGCTCATGACCGATAATTAGAGTTGCGATATGAGAGGACATATCTTTCCCGAAAAAAGGACAATGTCCGCGCGGACATCGGGACGGAGAGCGGACACTCTATTCCACGTTTTTTGCCCGTTCCATGGAATTGATTTGACTCTCCGACCATTTTCCTAATAAGCAACAATCGACTCAACTTCGATGCCCTAACGGTCGTTCAGAGAGAATTTGCTGAGGAGAAAATTTCCGACCCAGCCCCCGGCGCCTC